AAAAAAAAAAAAAGCTACGCTAGGCGAGGCGAACCGAAGTGAACTTTCTTCAACTTTGCTGAACTTTCCAGAACTGAAGAACTCCCATGTAAAGTGAGCCCAAGGGCATGGGGATAAGATTAGGGAGCTACGCAAACGAAGCGGCATTTGGGGGAGCTATTCCTACGAAATGCTCATGGCATCGTTCAAGTGAAAAAAAAAAAAGAAAAAGCCTTCACTTAGAGGAAACCCCCATTTTACACATTTTTGAAAAAAAATTCTTTCATTCGTCACTCATGAGAAAAAGGTGAAGGCGTTTTTCACCCCTTTTTCGAAATTTTTTTTTTTGTTAGTTTCTTCCTCCTTTGTACGTAATTCAAAAGTAGGGAACCTTCCGCCAATCCGCTACCATTTCAGAAGCGTTAGCAAAATGAAGTGGGCACATTTGGCGTTGCGTCCGTGCCTGCACCTCGTTAAGGTAAGAAGAAGGGAAGGCATCATATAGTGCGGACCAAAGCGGGTTCCCCAACTGCGTGCCAACAGAAGACGCATTGCAAGCGGTCCGGATAGTGACCCTCGGACGAGCAACACCGTCCGTGTCTGCCGTACCCATGCTGAGCAGCATCAGCAACCGTTGCACATATTAGGTATGCCAAAGTTTGCAAGGCGCCAACATTGTGTGTAGCAGTAATGCCTACTCGTGTGCGTTTTTTTTTTTTTTTTCAGAAAGGGAATACGGAGAAGTGGCACTTCCTATACACCCAGGTAAGACTACTCAAGGAGAGGGGGTGCACAATCTTCACACTGATAATCCGTTTGGTTACTGCTCTGTGAAGGTGTTTCCTATTTTCACGCCTCCTATGTGTTCAAAGGGAGGTACCCTTTGCTTTTCGCTCCACCGTTAAGACGAACCACACATCGATAAGTACAGCACGAATGGATTGTCTATACCGTTGTGGAGTTAGCTAACCAGTTACGAGACCGCACGTGTGGAGGAGGCATCCACCACAGGTTGCTTCTCCGAGTTGTTGGCAAACCGGAAGGATGGTCTTCACTCCCCCTACCACACAGTTGTTCCGTTTACAACTTCCCCCTTTTTTTCTTCTTTTTCCCGTAATAGCAAAAACTCATATGCAACCAGCAGACCCCTCTACACATTTACAACGCAACGAAATACTCGAAGAAGTCGATGAACCACCGTCTGTTTTACATAAATTGGCTTTTCGTGTTTTTATTCTTGGACTTCTGTAACGGTCACTTGGACATATGATACGTGTAGGTGGGCAGGTCCCTTCCGTTGGAGCCGCGAGGAGGGGCCCCCGCTCGCCTTTGCACTGTAGCAGTTCCGCCCATTGGCAGCTGCGCCGCTTGACAGTTTGTGCACAAAATGGAGAGGCAGCTGGTACCCATAGACAAGGACACGCCAAAACGTCTCCGTTCGATTCGTTTTTAGCATCCTATCACGAGACAGACGTGACAGGTGTACAACATGTGTAGGGAAAAAGAAAAAAAAAAAAAATGAAAATCCCATTTTGCAAATTTTTTTTTTTTTTTTTTGTCGAATTAAAAAAATTTGAACGATTTGAAGGACAAATAAATGCCGCAGGCGGTGAGGGCCACGAGCAGTGCGCCGATCAGTCCGTCCGACGATATTAAGTCGAAGAGAAGGCTTTTTAGGGCCAGCGCATTGCTATTTCTGGCATCGATTTTGAGTAACGCGTTTAGGTAGTTCTTCGCCTTTTTATAGTCCCGCAATTTGATGTGCGCGATGGCTAGCTGGTACAGGCAGTCGATTCGGTTGTAGTTTATCAGTAGCAGCTCGTGCAGCAGGGATGAGGCGACCTGGATGTTCTTTAAGTCCGATGAGCAGATTAGCATGCATGCGTAGTCGAACTGGGTCTTTGGCATTACATGGTCAATGGATAGTTCCTACGAAGGGGGAGGAGGGGAATCAGACAATGTAAGGTTCGTTCATGTGGGGGGATGAAACGGTGTGGGGTTCATTTGCGCGGCTTTTCGCTTCCTGGTAACCACTCCTGTACGCCCCTTTACACATCGCCTTCACCCCTCTTTGCTCTTTCTCCACCAATCCTGCCGTACATTTTCATAGTCACTCTTCACTCTCTCCAGCTCAATCTTGAGGAACTCCGGGCTGTCCATTCTGCCTCGTCCTATTGGGTAAACCTTGATGTGCCGAATGTGCTGTTGGCCAGAATGGATAAAGGGAGGATCTCCGTAGCAACTTTTTTCCTCCTTTCGTTCGTTCCTTCTTTCTTTCTTTTACATACCCAGTTGTGTCGCCCCTTCTGGTGCGACTTGTGCGATTCAGGTGAAGGGTTAGTAACTGATGCGCTTGTTTGATGTCAAGTGGACGATGTGAAATGGTTCCTCTGTGCCGCTAAAGGGGGCACATTGATGAGTGTACGCTGAGGGCCAATTGACGCGCTTTGATTAAGGGCGGAAAGTTGATTGCGCCTTTCCATGAGGAAGCAGAAAAAAATGATGGGCACACTTACGAGCCCCCCCGAAATGTTCTCACAAATTGACATAGCAAGTTAAGGCAGTAAAGCAAAGAGCTTCCCATTTGAGGGACGGGGCTGCCTGCTTGTTGGTTGCGAAAATCAGGGCCTCTCTTCGCCTGCACATTTCTCGCGCAAGTTTCTCTGCTATGTTCCTTTCCCATGCCAGGGTCATCCTTTCCTTTTTAAGCTTAAATTTTTTACTCCAACCCCTAAACCCTAATTTTTAACCCTTTCTTTCTACCCCCTAATTTTGAACGTTGGAAAATTGCTTCTTCGGGCACTCCCCCACAAGGTGCACCTTCTCGTACGCAGGGGAAAAAAGGAAAAAACAAAAAAAGAAAATTCAAAAAATATGAGAAATTAGTAAAAAACGAAACGAAGGTATAAACGAACAAAGGGGAAAAAAGGAAAAAAAAAAAAAAAAAAAAAAAAGAAAAAAAACACAACTTAACCAACGGGAGAACGAACTGATGAGCGCATCGAGAAGGAGCACTAGATCGATGAATCCTAACTTTCACGTAGGTTTGCCAATGGTGTAAATATTATCTGAGGGTCCTTGTGCTGAATGGCGAGGGCAACGAGAGGGTTAGGGACACCCAAGTCTAAAACACACGGATCGCAAATACCAGGTCGTTTCATCGTTGCAGAGAATGCTGCGTGGGCAGGGGGGTAAAAAGAGGATGGAGGGGACACAACATTAGAGGAAAAAAAAAGGGTTGCATAGTGTGTACCCCCTTTTTCTTTCTTGGGATGACTGGCGGGGGCTTTCCCCCGGAAGGGATCTGTCCTTGAGGTGCCTCTTTAAGCGACTCACCTATCCTCCACACTACAGGCATTTTCGTACACAATGGAGAGGCTGCGCTTCCTGCGCTCAAAGACGCATTTGACGATATTTAGGAACTGGTGGTAGTCCCGTGCCGAGAGTTCGGCCGTCACGAATAGGAGGCCTGCGGAGGGGGGAGGCAGAGCGGCACATTAGCTATTAGCGGCTCGTTAGAGGCTCATTAGCGGCTGTGTTAGGGATACACCAATGCAACTGCATTACGAAAAAGCGCTCCAAGCAGCACAGAAGCACATACACACTTGCGCGAGCTTACCACCCTCCTGCTGCAGGTCCGAGAGGCAAATCAGGTGTCTATGCACCCCCTTGAAGGAGGCCGTGTACCTCTTCCCGTAGACGCTCGTGTAGGAGCTGCTTCTAAAAACGATGTTACTTTTTATGTTGAAAATGATTAGCTCGAATCTGTTAATGAAGGGGGGGGAAGGGGAAGTGGGAAGTGTGAAATCATATGTGACGATCGGGGGGGGAGAGTTCTCACCATCGCGGTGGTGAGGGGGCAGATTCCCACCTGAGGTTATTCATATGCATGTTGTTGAGCTCTTCCAGGATGTCTGCGAGGGGGGCAAAGCGGAGTGTCAGCAGAGGTGTCAACAGCCGTGTCAGCAGGCGCGGCAAAAGGGGCTCAACAGAATGGATTCAATAAATACACTCAGTGAATCGGCCCAATCGACGGGCTAAACTAATTGGCGCACCTTCCCGGTAGAGGCACATGACCTGCCCGCAGCCGTTCCGTTTGATGTTCCGATCGACGTAACTGGAATTCTTGGCGCAGTCGGACAGGAGTATGGATATACCGGGTGCGCCCCTCGAATGGGGAGCCGCTTCACCAGCATCCTGCGAAGCAGCCTCCCTAGCCGCCTCCCCAACAGCTGCACAGCTGATGATATACTCTCCAACGTTCCCATCGACACATAAAACGTTTGCACCGTCACAGATGGAGCGCAGGAAGAGTCGATCTCGTTTGTTCTCGACGTGAAAAGGAACATGCGCTGTGTCGGAGAGGTTGTTGTAAAAGGTGAGTCCATTCTCGCAATGCTGAATGTCGCCGTGCTGGATGTCTCCGTGTTGAATGCCGCGATGGTCTCCCTTAATCGTTTCGAACGTGTATTCTTTCCCCTGCTGAGCTCTCTTCTCCTTTTTGCTCACAATCCTTTTACAGAAAATTCTCTGGGGGGAAAAAATGGCGTCTAGTTCCTTCTCAATGATGCACCTGAATTTTTGGATGGCGAGGTTATCATATCTGATGTAGAGGTCCTTCCCCAGAATGTACACCACTAGCCCCGGCAAGCCATCACTGGTCGAGCTAACCATTTTGCGGTACACATTGATCCCGTTTCGAACCCGTAAAGAATACATCCAGTTCCACAGATGTACATCTCTGTATAGGTAATGAAATCTTCTTTTTACACTCTCATATAACTTCGTGAGAAAGAAATGATCATTGATAGTTTTTCTGACATCCCTGTCGATGATCCGGATGACTAGGTTGCTCTTCCTGTTTACGATTCCTATGCCGAGTTCTTCTCCGTTCTGGAAATACACATTGACCAACTCTCCAGGCTCATACTGGCTCAACATCCCAATGTTGGTGATCTCGAAGTCGTACACATAACTGTGTTTGAGCTTTGCCAATTGGTGGTACCTCTGCAGTGGAAGGAACTGCGTTGGGGAGTGCCCGGTGGAGGTACCACCATCTGTCGGGGGCTCCCCCGTGGGAGGCACACTGTTCCCCTCCACCGGCTTCAACACAACGCTCACTCTTTCTTCAAATTTGCTGCAAAACGTAATTCGCTTTCTCCGTACTGCCTGCAACTCCTGCTCGTTTAGGAAGGTGGACAGCGGGGACGCTTTCGCACCAGTGGAGCTGCAGTTGGAGAAAAGTCTGCTTGACCCATACAGGTGCCATACTACCCATGGACGTTCATAACAGACGATGCTATGGAAGTTGTAACGGTTGGCACTGGTATACCTCTTTTTAGAGGGTCGTCCCTGCAAGGACAGTCCCACTTTGCGCGGGGCTCGGAACTTCATCTGTTCTTTCCCGCGGAGGTTGGGGTGGGAAGTGGCAATCGGTGAGCATCATTTTTTCAGCGGTCGGTTGAATTAGCGATTGAGTGACCGTTTCAGTCAGCGCTTAACTGAGCACGTTGCGCGCTGCGATAGCCCTCCTGATCAGTGAAATAGTGCGGCACTACAATATTGTGTTTAGCCAGAGTTCCAAATTAGGTGCGGCCTACCATGCCAGTTAGTTTCCCATTTCGCGGGGCGTGGCGGCGCCTGCAGAGGCTTCCACACCATAGGAGAGAGTCTTAAAAAAAAAAAAAAAAGAAAAAAAAAAAAAAAAAAAAACGTTTTCGGTATTGGAGGTCAATGGAGGCCGACTGGGGAAAAAAAAAAAAAAAAAAAGGAAAAATCACCAAATGAACCACTTAACGAGATGTCACGGGCAACATATGTCCATCTCTTCTCTGCGCACAGTTGTCGATCGCCTTCCCGCATGAGGACAAGTGTGCACCACGTGGTCACACCGCATCCGTCACACTGTGTAGGTGACGCCGCATCCCTCACTGCGCAGTTGCTTCGCCTGCTGTGTGCTATTCACCAGGAGCAGCAGCTTCTTGTTGTATCGCCTCAAATGTTTCAAATTCTGTTCAGCCTCTCTCAACTTCACCTTAGCCTTACAGTGCTCGTAAAAGACGAGTGAGGGGTTTGTCGAATAGGCCTTCTTCACAAATCTGGAGATCGGGATGGTCTCTTTCATTGCTATGTTAACATCCCTCTTGCCAGTCATGATGCACCACAAGGAGTGCAGCTTGCTGTCGCGCACTTGTATGCCCAGCTGCTTTAACAGAAAAATGAAATTGTTCACCCCTATCTGTTTTTTCCCATCACTGCATTGGAAGGTATCATATATCATGGACCGAAGGTAAGTATCCATCGTTGATTGGTGGTCCCCTTTGTAAAGTTTGACTTTATTAGCATCGTCCTGTTGGGCTGCTTCTCCTTCTACAGGAGGAGGTGCCTTCCCCTCCGCTCTTCCTTCTTTCCCCGTCTTGCCAATTTTAAAAAAGAACTTCTTCTCCATCGCATGCCACATGTGAAAGAGAGCACTTACGCATTCGTTGTCTACACGTATCAGTGGGTACTCCGAGCCTCCCTCGTCATCGCAGTGGTTTGGTTGCCTATTTGGAGATCCCTTCAAGGGGGACGCGTCTGTAATGTTAGAAGAACCCTTCCCGTGTATTCCTATTTCACCATCCCCAGTGAACGATGCGCTTTTGTTGCCATCCCCACTGTTGTGTGTGAGATGATTGCGGGGTGGTACACTAGAGGAGAGGCAGGCACTCTCCTCTAGGGCGGTTCTCACATGGTGAGTTCCCTCACAACTGGCCCCTAAACTGAGTGACTGCCGCAAAACTGACGAGCGTGCTCTTCTAAAGTACTCACCGAAGAAACCGTCGCCTCCAAGGATGGCACCATTTCGCCGGAGAAGAATCCCCAGATGCTGGTACACAGTGTCGATGTTTATTGTTCTATTTTTATGCATGACGAGGTTGCCTGTTAACTTAGACTTGAGTGGACCCTCATCGAAATAGGTGGCGAAGGAGTCGCCACTAATGAGTAACTCATTCCACTTCATGCATTCTGACATTCTTCTGAAGATGTCTGTGGCGTAATTGCTCATCTGGATGGCAAACTCGTCCTTGCTTCCAAAGCGGCTGCCGATGACGATGCCGCTTCTGCCGCTGGCACTTCTGCTTACGGTGCCCCCCCCTGCGAGGGGTCTCTCCAGAATGACCTCCTCTGCATAGTGAGCAATCAGGCACGGAACGACATGCGCGTTGTAGTTGTGCTGTACGACCCTGTTGGCAAGGTGGTCCAAGTTGACCTCCACCAAATCTTCTCCCACGTCGGTATCGCTTCGGAGCACCTCCCTGTTGCTTTCACTTTTCCGTAACTTGGATCCCACTTTGACATTCTTTCCGCGGGATGGATACAATCCCGAAAGGAGACTAGCTAACCGATGTGCAGTGCCCTTCGAGTGACTCGCTCCTTCCACCAGGGTCTTACTGAACCTTTTGGGTGGGGCATCATCTGGATGGATCGAATAACCATTCGGCTGATCCGTCCGAACAAATGTCGAGTGAATGCCATGAAAATTTAAAAAGGTGTCCAAAACAACTCGAACAACATTTCTGAGAGAGCACACTCCATGCATCACTTCGTGTGTGCTCTTCCTCCAGTTGTCCTTCTTCATCAGGTGGACTAATCTGTGCAGGTGTGTTCTCAACACGTGGAACAGCTCCTTGCCGGATCGACTAGCGACTTCACTAGAGGATTTATTCACGACTTCTCTTTCCGGGTGGCCCTCTCTCCCGTCACCTTGCAGCTCCTCTCGCTGATCATCCCCATCACTGCACAGATTCTCCATTTCCGCTACGCAGTTAACCAAATTGTGCACCCCCCGAAGGCAGTTCTCCTCCTCCCCCTTCCTCGCCCACGTGCTCATCTCGAGGACTCCCTTACACACATGACAGAGGATCAGAAACAAATCGCTTGAAAAGGAAATTTCAAAAAAGGTGACAAGATTTTCTGAACAGGTGAGGTGATTTGCCTCTTCTGATTTTTCATTGCCAAAAGTGTACCTCTCAGGGGTGTGTGGTCCTTCTTCCAATTTGAATTCAATTCTTTGTGAGTCATTCCTTCCCTTTTGGAGCTTTTCGCTGGACACTCCTGTACGGAGGGGTGGCTCCTCTGGTGATGAAGCGGTGATGTGTGGATCGTCTTGGCGGGGATTAAGGGGGTCACTCGGTCGGTCGTCCCCCTGAAGACCTGGCCGCTCATCTGGCTGCCCATCTGGTTGGACGCCCTCTTGAGGGTCCACTCTGGCCGCCCCCTGCGCCCCCTCCTCCATCAGCGAAACAGTCCTATTGATAAAAAGGATGTCCATAGAAATTGAGTTTAGCCAAACGAGACAGTCGGAGTAGTCCGCACTGTCCTCCCAGGAGTCACTTCTCGTCCTCAAGCTGCAAATTTTCCTGTTAACTGCATTTATGTGCTTAGTAACTTGAGACGTCCTCCGTAGGATCTCTTTATAAGTGGAATTGCATCCATCCGTGGAGTCGACCATCAGCTGTTCTGCGACTGATTCCGCCGACGCTTCATAGGTAGAGGTTGTCGTAGCTACTGCGCCTTTTCCAGCATTCCTTGGAGAGTCGTCCTCCTTGTTGATCGCCTCTCCAACTGGCCCTCCACTCCTTGACTGGCTCCTCAAATCGGAGGGGACTTCCACACTGCCATTAGCGCATATTCCGAGCTGCACAACCAACTGCCTACATTGCCATGCCAAGTTTTTGCACCTTCTCTTCAGCTCGTCGATCCCCAGAGTGTCAATCTCATCGCATACAAGTTGGTAGTCCTCAGAGGACAGTTTTTTCTCAGCTTCCGTGTGGTGTCCACTTTGGATTAATCTCTCTTTTGGTCTTTTTAACAGTTCAATGGAGGTGTTACTGGATTCGATTTGTTCACCTCCATTTTCGCTTGACGGATTAATTGCAAGATCGTTGTTCCGTTGGGATACTTGATCTTTGGGGTTTCCCCTCTGCGTTGCCTCTCCATCATCGGGCTTATCACCTCTGCACTCTTCTCCACTGCCATGGAGATTCTCCGTGAAGTGGCTCTCCCCTGCACACTGAAGCTTCTTTGTTAACTCTCTATACATCTGCACCTCTTCCTCCAGCATGGTTACTTTCCTTCCATTAGTATTTTCATTCTGCAGGTGGATTTCAATTTGGTTCTTCAGCTGTTGTACTTCCGCTTTCGTTTCGTTAAGTGTCTTCTCCATCGTGGTTAGCTCTCCCCTTCGGACCACTATTTCTTCCTCCCTGTCTCTTAACTCTTTCGTTAACTCCTTCATGGATTTACTCTCCCTGTTTAGCTGCTCCTTTAAGTTGTTAATCCTAAGTACGTTATTCATTTTTTCCGTTGTTAGGGCTTCCTTGTCGTTTTCTAATCGCTCGCACTTCCTCCGGAACTCTTCCAGCTGCGTCTGCAGGTTTAGCTTTAAGTTTAGCTCCAACTCGCAGGCCTCTCTCGCCTCCGCCGCGTCTCTGCGAAGTTGGGCCAGTTCTATGAGGTAGTTCTCCTTCGCCTCCCCTGCGTCTCTGCGAAGTTGCGTCACCTCTGTGAGGTAGTTATCCCTCGCGTCGGCTGAGTCTCTTCGAAGTTGAGTCAGTTCCTCCTGGAGCTGCCCGTTTTCCCTCCGATGCTTTTCCTCCTCCTTTTTAAGTTCGTCCAATTCGCTACTCAGCTTGGCGTTGGATTTACCCAGCGCTTCTTTTTCAGCAGCCAACTTGGCGTTCTCCCCATTTAGTGTCTCATTCAATCCATCCAGTTTTGCATTTTCCTCACTTAGGATGTCATTCAATGCAGACAGATTGGCATTCTCCCTACTCAGGGTCTCATTCAA